CAGCAGGTCAATGGCTGTAACAATGCCAAACACCATTTGCCGCTTGCTGGAGGAACCATCACTGTGATCTACAGAGGAACAAAGAGGGGATTCTGGCTTTAGGAGGCACAAAACCACACCATGCACTTGGTTTTAATGGCACTGCTTGTAAAGGCAGGTGCCAAGCCATCCCAGCTCCACAAGTCAGGGCCTGTTGGTGGAGCTGGTTATCACTAATGTCCCCTGTATATTAAGGCAGAACCCAAATGTCACCTTGACCAACAGTCACATAGGAAGTGGCAAGGATTTTAGTTTCAGAAAGGCTCATCAAGAAAAGGGATTATAGAAACTGAAAACATTATGGAAGGAAGGTCCATCAGGCTTATTTTTCTTGACATGAAAATTCAAAACAGATCCTGTTATAAAGGTTATTTTCCTCATACATCAATTTCCGTGGCTCTATTTTAAGCAGTTGCAAACTGATATTACCCCATTTGAAGCAGGGGCCATTAAAGGAGGACATGTGTCAATACCACCTTCCCAAACTGCTGTGAAAAACAGAGGTTAAAAATCACAACACAACATTTTCTCATTTGTATCCAAAAAGTTATTAACCATCTCATAATTGCTACATTGAGAGCACAGGTTCAAGTAATTTTTCATGGTGAACATAAGTCATTGACCTGGGAACCAAGTGACCTCTGGCCCTTTATCTATTGTTTAAGTTCCCTATTCCTAAAATCTGGCTGTATTGAGATGTTTAGCCTACTTACATACTCAGTTAGTTCAGTCAGCTGGATTGTCCTAGACTTTTTACTTACTCTGCATTTGTTCTATTGCAAGAGGAGATTCTTCCAGGGAGATTCTAGGTTTATAAATAGTCAGCATAGAGTCAATAGCACTTCCTTATGGATATTATCAGGAACAAGGCCACATTTGATGACTAGTCTTCCTTAATAGTTATAATTGAGTTAGCCATCAGATAAGTTTATCTGGTGAGTCTTAATATTGTTTTTAGTCTGGTTTCTCAGTGTTTGCAATTTTTCAAGTTGCCTGCTATAAGGAAGATAAGCCTGGAAAAAGTGCTACTATTCACATGTAACAGTGATATACCCTAGCTTTGAAGATTTATTTAGTCATTTCCACTTTATAAAAAAGGTAGAGTTTTGAGAAGGCTGAAGAGAAGTAGATCTTGGAGTAAAAGTATCAAATGGAGTAAGTTATTTTAAACAGAATAAACAGGGCAAAAATAAATATTAAGCTGTCTTGAGACAGTGATGTCAGTGTTGACATCTAGATCTTACTAAACTTTATAAAGTTGTAATTAAAAAAACTGCAGTGTAGTTAACCTGGGATGCTCACTGTGATGAAACTGCTGGAAGTTGTAAGACAGCAGTAGGAAGAAGCAAAGAACAGTTGTCCTGCAGGACCTTATGAGTTAGCTTATTGTTACTAACAGAGCCCCTGTAGAGTGGGCTAGACTCAGACATTCAGTTCTGAGCAGTACCCTGCTCCAAAAGCAGGTATGTTACAGCAGGTACACGAGGTTATTAATGGATTTAACACTCACTCCACAAGAACTGCAATGCCAGTGTCTTACTAAGTGTTAGTAGCACAGTAACATACAGAGAAGGATTTGCCTTCTTCAGAACTTGTTCACGCACTCACACTTGTGCTTGCTTCTTGTTACCACACAGATTATCACTTACAAGGTACAATACATCATACTTACATTGAATTTGTTCATGAACCACTAGAGCAAAGTGGTCTATTTCCAGAATATGAGAGAGTTTCCCCAAGTTGTCTTTCAGGTTAATCTAAGGAGAGAGTTAGAAAACTTTAATAAAACAGGCCTTTTTATGTTTACTGGTTGATAAACTCCATATATTTCGTGCACTATTAAGACAATACTTTGGTATTTATATACTGCTCCCACCTGAAGTATTGTAAAACACTAACAAATCAAGGTCAACTTAATAGATTTGTTTTGTTTCTAATTTCCAAGAAAATGGAACAAAAAAACAAAGTTTACATGAAGTTATTCTATCCAACTCTGTATGCATAATGAATACACTGAATTTAATGAATATCTGGAAAATGTTAATGATGGAAAAAAAAAATCAGGTATTCCATGTGCCTAACAAAAGAAGCTACCACAAAACTCTGATTATACTTGGTGATTTTACTCTAGCAAGACTTGGAAAAAGTGCATTAATCAGTCTGCAAATCATTGTGGGAGTGAATACTATCTGCAAAAGCAGCAGGGGAGAAAAAAAGCCCAAACAAGCCAAGAACAAAACCAAAGGTGACGATTGCTCAGCTAACACTGTGCTGAAGTGCAAATCAAGGAACTGAGAATCAAGAATTCATTTTTAGCGAAGTTCAACTTTGCTAAGACTAAACTAGAAAGCACCCCATGTTGACTCTGCAGAAAAAAAACACAGACCCTTCAGAAACACTTAGCTAATCACTTGCTGGAACCATTTGAAAGAATCCATAAAGCTGTTCTTCCTACATGCTTTAACATATTCAGCAACAAGTCTATTACCCAGCTGACTATTCCCAAGTAACAGCAGCACCCACCATCTAACATACTTTCATTTACAAGGATTAAAGAAATTTACAGCAAAAAAAAAAAAGTCTTGCACTGCAGATTAAAAAAGTCTTTATCGTGCAGTGAGCTCAGCTTGTCATTGAGTAATAAATGCCACAGCACGAACAGTTGGGCTGCAGTGGAACACAGAGCTCTCGTCTCCATACTGTGAGCTAGAAGAGATCAAAAAGATTGCCAGCAGTCCATGTTTAAGGCTACATGGAGTAAGCAGGCTATTATGGGCTACTAAAGAATCAACCCTTAAGTTTGTGGGCCAGGCAAGAGGTGAGGGGAAATCTGGACCTTCTGCTACATCAGGTCAGCTATCAGTTACCAAGACTAATAAGCAGTTCTGTGCAGGTGTACATACAAAGCCTAACTTTTGAACCCAAGTTCAAAGCTCACTGAAGGGGTGGAGCCCCTTGCCACCTCATTGTATATAATCAATGTATACAATCAATAATCAGGGCTGGGTGGGCTGAAGATGATAATGACATGCAGTCCACAGACAGCACTGAGACAACTATGAAGACATAAACATGTTTTGAGATGCTTAATGGAAATTTAAGAGAACTCCCATGAAGCTGTCACCTGCCACTACTGCTCATTCAAGGCCCCTAAACATTTTTCCCCATTATTTTTCCCATGTCCTGTGGGCCTATGCACGTGGTATTACACTACACATGACTGGGACTGCTTGTTTGGCTGTAAGGGTAAGTGACATGGCACTGCTCATGGCCCTACAACTAAATTCTCTCCTTCCCCAGAAGTAGGTTCTGGTCTGCTGAGGATGCTGGGGACACCAGGCCTTGCAATGTTTATCAAAGTGCAAAGAGATCACCACAAAATACTTGGAATGATCATACCAGAGAAAGCTTCTTGTGCTGCCAGAAGATAGCTTTGCCTTGGTAGTCACAGGCTAGGTAAGCCTCTTATTGATGCATGCTGTGGTACAGATCTTAACTGTAGGATATCCTAAGTAATTTCAGTGACACAGATAATCCATTTTTCCAATTACACAAGTAAACAAGCCAAATAAGGTTGACTAAAGTGGTAAGAGAAACAAAATCTACAATACTTCTGAGGTTATGTGCATTTAATCATGTTTCTTCATTAAATCATCAATTCAAATGGAAAATAACAAGTGAATGATGCTTTTAGTTAGCATGTCAGCAATACCACCACTTGTGTCACTCCCTTCCCATCCTACACCAAGAAAAGAGTCAGAACTAAAGAGAAAAGAAATGGTTAAGCTGCTCTTTATTGAATAAGAATGAGAAAAGTCAAGCTGCCCATGGAAAAAATCCACAACCTCAGAAGCACAGAGAATTGTCTACTACAGCTAAGACCAGTGTAGCTACAGAAATGATTGCACACCACCAGCCCCAGAAACTCTTAAGTTGTCCAAGTGAGGGAGCACATGAACAAGGCAGTTTTTGTTACGCACCACATTTCCACCTGATCCTTGATTATCTGTCTGGGAAGGAAAAAATACATTCATATTTGTCCAAAAAGAACTAGCATCCTTTCTCAACCTCAGGGACTTGGCAGTTTGTAGATTGAACCAAAGCATTACACATACTTCCAGAATACAGCACCTCGTCTACTATGAGAGTGTTGAAACTAAAAGCCTGGTGAAAACTAGGTCAAGCATTCCATGTTAAAAACAAAATTATTTTCCTGCAAGACAACCAAAGCAACAGCAACAATACTTCTGTTTTAGAACAGAAGAGCACTGGTACAGCTGAGAAGTTGTGGTATCTTGACACACCACATTGCATGGACAGGTTAAAGTGGCTAACATATCTTGACATCAGCTTTCAGCAGTCATTCCCCTGTTTCAGCAAAGCATCTGATACAAAAGGCAAGCAGTTGCTTGTTTTTAGCCAATATAGAAATTATTTAGAAGAGCTGTTTTAACATCTCTGTCTCTTCCCCTGGATAGTTACATTGCCCAGATTTGTGCTAGCTTTTTTTTCGGGAGAAGGAAAGAAAAAGCATGCTAGTAGAAAGCCTGTTAAATAATGGAACGGCACAATCCAGAGTTACAACACAAACCTGGGAGCAATCACGTGGCCCAGGACAGAGTTTAGAGCACATCTGTGCTCAGTAACAGCTGCTCTGTATGGTCCCTGCTAAATCTTATTCAACCTGATGCCTATGTGGTGTTAGGATCCTACAGTAGTACTTTAAATCAGAGAAGTTACAGAATATACCTGCTTACCTGTTTAAATTGCTTGTAGATTACTTTTCTAACCTCATCAGAAGGCTGAACTTTTCCAGCAAGTAGTGAAGAAAGCATATTACCCAGGGTAACCATGCCCAGAATCACTCTGGAGGAGGAAAGCAAGAAGATAGGGCTAAACAACACAGAAGTCTCAGGTGTTACTGTAGATACAAGCATTCACTTCCAGCTAGTCTGAAGCAGACAGTTCAAATGTTTCATGGTAGAGAGGAACATTATTGATGGTATACTTGGATTCAGTGCCTCTGTAGGAGACAGAGTCCAGTGCTCAGAAGTTCTGGAGAATCACACAGAAGTCAGCAGGTGCTGTGGATGCCTGGCCCTTCTGAGCATCAAGCTATTTCCATCTCTAGTTTTTTCAACTGGAAAACTTATGCAATCCAAGAGAGCTTTTGAGAAGCACAACTTCATTGTTTTACACCCTCACCTGTGCTTTTGAAAGGTATGATGACCAAAGAATGCTTGCCTCAATTTTGTTTATTCCCCTTCTCCCTACAAGGATCTCTCAAGTTAGCACTGTACCTAGAGAATAACTGAGTAACTCATCATTACTCAGCCTGTCCTGCAGGAGACTTGCAAGGTAATAAGGCATACCAGCTTGCTGAGGATCCCCTGTTTTATAGGGATCAATGCAAAATTGTGCTATAATGCAGTGTTTTGAAGAAACTGGGTGAAAGTTTTGAGGAAGATGGACAGGTTGGTTAAACAATAATTTTTGTTTTCTTAAGTTAAACAGCTATTCTAAAAACAATGAAATTATTCTGCAGAAACACAAGTAAATATATCATAATAAGCATCAGAGACTTGCTATGTGAAGGGCAGGACAGTCCTAACAGGACAACATATTAAGTCCAGAATTGGTATTTTTAAGGTTATATTTCTGCACTGTATTACTGTAACTGAAGAAAGATGAGTGAAAGGATATTATACTTCTAGTAATCATTTAAAAGACATCCCCTGGGACCTGATGAGGGAAGTGATATATATGGATGAAGAGTGATATAGGTGGACATACCCAGATTCATCAACAACTGGTACCTGGTCGAATCCCTTCTCCCGGAGAATTTCAACAGTCTTTGCACAGGTAACAGTTGGAAGCACAGTCAAGGGAGCAGAGAGGCTTAGTTCCTGAACACTGATGTTCCACCACCTGGGTATTAAATAAAAACAAAACCCATGCAAGTTTTATGGAGAAGCAGTTTTTTTTTTTTTTATGTACAGTGGCATTCAATGCTACAGGAATGACAGAAGGCTGCAAGAATCAGGATTCAGCCAGAGTCAGTAAAGCTTCAAGGCTTTCAAGTTTTCCCCCCAATATCAGAAAATCACTGAAGTGTATGAGAAGGCTTTAAGACTAAAACTATTTTCCTCATTTCATCTATTTTCTAGGATTACAGATAGTGGAGAATACTAATCTCCCTAGTGTCATTATTTCTGTATTACACAGAAAATGTTGTGCTCCTACTCAAAGAGCTAGGCATATTTACAGTCATTATAGGTAGTAATTTAGGGAAGACCACCTTCTACCTATGTAGACTTGCAGTGCTTTGCACTTAAGAACTCTGATGTTAGAAATATTCTCCGTTCTTCTGCTGCCATGCAATTCAAAGAAGGAAATTAAAATTCAACAATAAATTCAATAAAAAATAAGAAGTTCAATAAAAAATTCCAAGGAAATTAACTAATTTAAGCAGTTTCAATTAATAGCTGCAATTATACAGCAACACAATAGCATGAAAGATAAATCAAAGAAAGTAGTGTAAATTGAAAGAAGCTTTAAATTAGCAACTGCCATAAAGGCAATTAAACAGACTAATAAAAATCCAAATGGACCCAACACATTTACCAAGGTTTATTGACCAAGTCATCTTCTTCTTTCATGAATCCCTTCTGAATCATCCATTTGTCACTCAAGAACTTGGACCTGGAAAGCATAAGGAAGTTAAAAGTTCATTATCAGGCTGAATATCTGACAGCAAACCTGATAATACACAGAGGCAACTGTTTACAGCTCACTACCACTAAGAACTGAAGTGTAATTGGAAGTCTACTGCCATTTGCCATACAAGCTTACCTGCCAGGGGCACTGAGACGAAATACTGATGGGAAGAAAAAAGAATCCCCTAGAAAACAGTTTCAATGACATCAGTCCCTTCTCATACAACAGAGACACAGCCTGGAATGGAGAAGTGTCAACATGTATTCAGGCATGGTCTGTCTGCAGTTTCTAGTCATCAGTCATCTAGTGTTGTGTTGGATGCAACAGAAGTCAGGAAACACAGCTAAAAACATAATGCTTTGGGGTATGCTTCAGTGCAGTAGGAGAGAAACAACTCAGCACAGCTCAAAGGCCTCAGAGTTCCAGCCACAAACTCACCACAACACTGGCTGCTGCTACACTAGTGCTGTGTTCTGCTGTGGACACAGGCAGAGAGGAGACAGCCTAACTGGGAGCCTTCCCGGAATGGGATAATACCAGTGGTCCCCAAGAAACAGAACAGTGAAAGCAAGTCTCTTCCTGTGAAAGATATTAACCAGTGATTGTTATATACTGAAGTGTGACAAAAAGGACCTCAGCTTTCAGAGGGCTAAACTCCTTTCTGTTCCATGTTAGACCCTTTCTAGATACCTCAGAAGTTGTGTCCCAAACACTTCCCTTGCTGGGGTAACTGGGTGCTGAAAAAAAATAAGTATTCAACTCGCTACTGCTGTAAGGAGGTCTGAGGAACTGCCTAACCCTTTCCCCAGAGAAAAAAAAACAAGCGGGTTCTTACATGTAGTTCCTGATAGAGTCAGGGAGGATAACAACACAGCGCTGACCTTCCTTCAGCTCTTTGGCTGCCTTCACAGCTACAGACATGGCACTGCCTGAGCTGCCACCTGCCAAAATGCAGATCAGAGGCAAAACTGTCAAACCCTAAGTGAAATGAGAAAGAGTGAAAGAGAGGTGAGACAGTACAGGAGTCCAGGGTGAGTAAGACAGCTTCTGAAGTGGAAGGTCTCCCTGACCTGCAAAAGGCTTCAGCCTCCCACATGCTAATCAGAAACCCAAAGCATGTGCCTCTGTTCTTACCACACAGCAGTCCTTCCTCTCGGATCAGCATGCGTGCTATAGCAAATGACTCTTCATCATTGCTCTTGTACCACTGGTCCACTGTCTGGGAAGGGACAGGAAGACAGAAACAAGGGTCTGTTTAAATGAGGAGGCCTAAGGGAGCTACACAGCTGGTGTGAATTCAACCCATGCTCTTTCAGGTACCAGCTGCACTATTGAACCACGTGCTTAGGTTTCCATCCTCCAAACACTAAGTGTTGTTGTGAGTTTTTTTTGCCAGGAAAAGACAATCACATTTGCACAACAGGCTCCTTATTGAAACCTTTCTGTGAGAACAGCCTGTTGTGAGAGCCACAGAGAGCATCGGTTTCCTTACCCTCTTGGAGTGCTTCCCAGGGACACAGGCTCTGCTCAAGACACAGGACATAGTCACACCACTTTTTGGATGGGTTGGGGTGCCTTGTTGGGTTTTGTTTGGGTTTTTTTGATTCCTTGGTAGAGGTATCTGTTAGTTTTGGGATTTATTTTTTTTAAAGAGTACCATGTTCTAAGAAAATGTTATCTGCTCATAGTATTTCCACCTAGCACTGCATGGCCAGTGCAGAAGCCTTCTAAGGACAGCTTTTGCTGACGGGAAGAACAGGAATAGTTCTGTCTGCTAGCCCTTCCCTTTCAGCTCAAATAAATTTTTCCAAGTTTTTCCTCCACCTTTCATCTCACTTCTGCATCCTAACAGATGGCAAAGGGCAGTAAACCAAGCAGCACAACTTACAGATCTATCCAACACTGTGGGAACAAAATCATATCCAATTCCTTCCACTTCATACATTGTCTTGTCAGTCTTGTTCAGCGATTCTGGTGTAGCAAGGATGGAGCCTTCAGGATCAACACCTATAATCTGGAGAAGCAGTTTTCACTTTGGGTACCAGGACACACTCTTTTTGAGAACACAGCTATTTAACTCATGAGCACTGGCCTCATAGCCAAGCTAACAGCACTCTAGTCTCCTATTAATTCTCTCCTGGCAACATTCACCTCCCGTGTGAGCCAAATGCTTTGCTGCTTCTGGTCCCTTGACAACCCATCCTGTCTGCTCAGGCTGTGGACACCAAGTGTGGGGCACCACTTATTCTACATGAGTTTTGCTTGGTTCAACAGAAAAGAGGGTTTCCATGAAACAAGACTGTTCTCATTCACAGGTCAGGCATCATTACAGCCAATACATTTTGTGACAAGTGAAAGCAGGTAAGTTTTTTTGTTTACCACCCCCTGTCTATGTAGAAAAATATTCTCCATTGAAATACAATAAAACCTCAGCAGATCCAGACAAGTTAATGAAGACAGCACAGAAATACAAGGTTACAGAACACACCAGGGAAGGGAGTTTCTCAGACACACCATGAAGGGATCCAAGGGCCAGTTTTCACCTGCTAAGCCAAACCTGAACTCTGGCCACCAGTGAGACCAGAGCCTGAAAACCCTTTCCTTGCTGCTCAGAACTACCTTCTAACTAAGAACATCCAAGAGTTTCCCACAGAGATTCAGGGCAGGCTTGCAAGGAATGGAACATGCCAAGTGGAGCAGTTTGAGGTTCACCCCACTAAAGAGAAATGCTTTAGGCTTGCAACTTACTTTACAACCTGGACATTTCTCCTTCAGCTTTCTGGAGATGCCAGTGATAGTACCTCCTGTGCCGGCCGTAGCTACCAACATGTCTATTTTTCCTGTTTAAGGGTGAGGGATAGAAGGCAGTTGTGAAACCTCCCCCAGAATGATTTTCAAACTTAAAATGAGCAGCCTATTGTATCAGTGAATTTCCTGAATGAGTGCCAAGAGCATGGGATAGGCATTCAATGAGAGAACTGTTAACTACTCTCATTTGCATGTGAAAAACTTTTGGTCATAAGCAGAATGAGCACAGATATAATAGTTCATCCTTATGTCACCACCCGCAGTTTACCTGGTGCATCCACATGACAGCTTTCTTAAATTAAAAAAAACCAAACATTTTCAAAAAGGTCACCAATTCACACCAAATGCTTACCAGTCAAAAGAATAACACCCCACCAAGCAGGGGTAACTGAACAGTGCCTGGCCTAAAAGGAAAAGCAAATACAAACAAAAAACCTAAAGCTAGAACTCATCTAAACTCTCAGCTGGTGAGCAAGAAGCTTGTTAAAGTATATTCATTTTAACTCAAATTTAAAGAAACTTTGCCACAGAAAGACAAATCCTGTGAAGAGCTAGTTACTTTTATGGGAAATGAGGACCCTTTTTCATGGTCCTCACCTTAATTTAATAACAGATTTTCTTATTAAAGGGTCCATTAGAAACTGTACTGATTTATAAGGCAGGTCAGTAGCCTTCCACATGATTTCATTCTACCACCTATAGCAAATGCCTACATGGCAGGCTACAGCATCACAATGGATGCCTCCAACAGCTTTCAAACCAATTCCTCAGCTGGGTGAGTTAGCCAAGCTGAAGTTCTCTGCTGCCACAGCTCAGCAACTTCCAGTACTCCAGCTGCCTGGAGCTAACATGGAAGCCACTGTTAAGAGTAAAAAGGTCTTACTGATGACAACTCCAACACAGAGTAGTTTGTACTCCTGGTGACTCTTAAGTGAAGAAGTTTTCAGTGTATTGGAGTATTTGGTCTGATCATGTAAAAAGACCTATTTCTGCATTAATGATCAGAGAAAAATGACCCTATTCTTCCATACTGGTCTACCTATGCCTTTTTTTCTTTAAAGAAAAAAAAAAAGGGGATAACTTAAGCATCGCTACCTTCTCCACTTGATCACAAGCAGAGAGATCTAAAAAACAAAGCAACCTTCTTTAGTGAAAGAAAAAAAGATACTACAACTATTGAAATAATTCTCTACTGACACACAGAATATGTATGGGACTTGCTGTACCCCGCCTTTCTCATCCACCTCAGGCCCTACCATCCCAGTATGCAACAAGAGAATAGCAGGGCCTCCCTGAAGAGGCAGTCAGCAGTAGAGCAAACATACCTTCGCATTGCTGCAGGATCTCTTCAGCTGTGGTGTCATAGTGTGTCAGGGGGTTGCTGGCATTACGGTACTATGTTGAAAGGCAGAATAGCCATTAAGTAGACCCAGAAGACCAGATTCACATTGTGAGGCATTTCAAGGACATGGCAAACACTGCCCAAGCCCCACGATAGTTACAGATATTATTTCTAGACTGTCTTCTTATCTATTACCAGGACCTAGGCAGAGATCTAATTTAAGAGTTGTTCTAAGGCACCCTCTAATGCCAAGATCAGTCCTGTCTGTGGAACAGTTTATTTAAGGAACATTACCCTTGTACCCGTTCTTCCACACAGATACAATTCAAATGGAAAAGGCCAACCATATGGCTGCAGTTAGTACAAACACAGGGTCGTTGCTGCCCTCTAGTGACTATAAAGACTTGCTACCCGACAGCATGGTGATTGCTCAACTACAGCTCCAGACCTGGGATACAATTTCCTAGATACGCACATAGGACGCTGAGCAGTCAATCAAGGACACCAAGGAACAAGGCTGCAATACCTCCTCCCATGCCCTTCTGACACTCTGTCTCTCACCTGGTCCAGTATGTGTGAATTGGGGATTTCGTTTTTCAGTCTCCATGCTACTCCCACATGAGATTCAGGAGAATCAAATCTGGCAGTCGTTGGGGTTCTCACAATCTCAGCACCCAGAGCTCTCAGAACATCCACCTGTAGCAAATAAAGGTGGTCACAAAACCTCTAAACACTGACCCAGCACGGAGTCTTCACTGGGTTGCAGGGGAAAGAAAACATCTTCCCTTCTACCTGGTCTGCAATAGCACCCTTAGTGGTTTTCCTATACCTCAGCCCCACATCACTGAGCCATGGGTCCAAATCCGTAACGTCATCTGGTCTTAACTAAGCTTTATTTGGGAGCTAGATGTCAAATTCCTGTTTCTATTCTAGGCCTTCAGGCCTGTAGGGACTATTACTACACATAAAAAGCCTCATTCAGGCAAAACACCATCTCCTCTCATGAGGGTCACATATGTTCTGCACTCCAACAGTGCTATTGCCCAGTATTTTATGTTTAAGTGCAAATTATGTATATTTACCTCCTTTTTTGGACACAAGCAGCAAAGTAGACCCTCCAGAGCCCTGTGCACCATCCAACTGCTACAAGGGCAAGAAAGTTTGACACTGAGCTAAGGCAAAGCCTATCTTCAGAGGGGAGGGAGGCCTTTGGTGCAGCAGGGTATATAGCAATAGCCACGTGGTAGCTCTCTCTCCACAGCAAATAAGAGCAAGCAATTGGTATAGGCAGAGTTCTGCCTGTCTAGTGACTTAAGAGACCAAGAGCCTACACCTGTGTTGCTAAAGCCACAGCACTCATCTGCATCAGGAGTTCTGCAAGTGCAAACATGTTTGTTTTTAAATTCTTGAAAAGAAAAGCAGAGCTGACCTTCTCCATGCTCATTTTCTCTGGCATCACAATAATACAGCGGTAACCCTTCACTGCTGCAGCCAAGGCCAGTCCAATTCCTGGAAGCAAGCAAAGACATGTAGAGCATACAGCGAGGAGCAACAAAGAACAAAACCCACAGAGCTAGCTTTGGCATGCCCTGGCTTTCATCAGATTTTCAGAGGCCTGAGTACAGTGTCTTTGGAGTAGTGGCAAAGGGAATACTTCTGACTACCAGGGAGAACTGGATTTACAGATCCTGCTAGTTCTTTGAGGACCACAGTAAATGGAAAGTTTAGCCAAGGGGCCGGGGGGGGGGGGGGGGGGGGGGTTTAAAAG